TGTAAAGCACAGTTCACAAGAAAATTACAAACCCAAAAAGGAAAGGAAAAAAAAAATGTGACTGGTTTTAGAATTAGAAAGAGTTTACTCAGATTAAGGCATTGTTGCGTGAAATCGAAATTGTAACTGTGAAAAGAGTTCTAAACTCGAATCTGACTTTCAGAGTTGTATTTCAATGGAAAACTAAATATTCGAGAAAATTAAATTGAGAAAAAAAAATAATAATTACCAATTGTTGAGAAGTCACCGTAAGGACTGAGCAAGGCACATATTATCGATTTTGTTGAGTTTCTGCAAAGAAGATTGCTTTCGAAGAGTAAAAACAATAATTGAAATATCACAAACTCCAAAATTCAAGAAAAGAAAACAAATCAACCACATTCACAATTTTACGTATATGTATAGACATTTACTAGAGAGAGAGATTTTAATACCTACGAGAAACAAATGAGAGAGGCGACGCTCTGTTGCGAGAAGCAATGGAGAAACTCAATGGAGCTAAGATGGCTGAATCTATCATTTCTGCAACTTGAGAGAGAGAGAGAGAGAGAGAGAGAGAGAGATGCCAACTCTGAATACTCCTTATTTGTTGCTGTCATTCATGTTGGGAGTGTGCCAAACCGCGGGCACTATGCTAGCCTTGTGAAAAGCCAGGACCACTGGTTGTTCTTTGATGATGAGAACGTAAAGATGACTGATGCGTTTGCTGTTCAAACTTTCTTTGGAGAATTTGCTTGGGGGTAAAGAAATTGAGGAAGAAGACAGCAGGCAGGTTCAATGATGAAAGAGAGAGAGAGGGGAAATGAGGTTTGATAGAATAAAGATCAGAAAGAGAGATAGTTAAATTTCTCTGATATGATATATGGGTATGGGTTTAGGGATCTTAGACATCAAAAAATAATATTATGAATATTTTTCATTACTAAAAATGGGAGAGGGATCTTAGACTAATTTTTCCTAATTCTAATCTATTTAATTTTATTAAAAGAAAAGTTAGTATATCTGTGTAAAAAATTGTGATATTTACTATATTTTTTTTGTCCAAATATTAAAAAGATTGATATAATTTACCCAAAAATATAATAAATGTTGCATTATTCTGTAAGCATAAGAGGTCACTTTCCAAACTTTAAACCTTTTATGATTTCTGACCAATCAACGTCCAAGTAAAAAGAACATCTGTCATCACTTTAATAACAATAAATAATAATAAATCTATGAGCATATGATCATTTAATTAGTGGCATTTAGCACATCCATTGAGATGTGATACAAGGTGGGCTAGCAATGTTTATGGGCTGACAACAACGTTTTCTCTTTGTTAGTGGGCTAGCCACAGTTGACAGCAATTGGCAATTGTAACAATGACAAGTTTAACGGGTCAAAAATAACATTTAAAAATATAAATATGATTCATTCGAATTCAATTTTAATTTTATACTTAATTTGTATTGTATTTATTAACAAATACAAAAACTTGTTCTTTGATATGTCAAGAATAACCCTGAATTTATTTTATTTTGTTAAATGGTAGGATATTATTTATAAATAATATGTAAATTATATGAAATTGAATAATTAATTATGTAAAAAAAAAAAAATCTAAAAAGCACATACAAGTTCAACACCAATATTAACATCAGGAAAAATGTTTTTAAGACTCACAAAAAATTCTCACAATAATACCCACAACAATGCAGTATCATATGTGTCAATTTTTGATTTATTACAAATTTAATAATGAATCTAACTCTCTTACCACATCATTATGGGTAAATTTGTAAGTCTAAAAATATTATTCCTTAACATTGCTCTAATATCAATACAAGAAAAAGTCACATAATAATAAATATAAATAAACAACCCATATTGATAATACAGTTCGTGATGGTAGGATGGGCCGGACTGATCCATGCTCCTCAAGCCTATGTCCGAATTACCAAGCCCACCGGAAGACCTGCACAAGAGTTCAACGGGGAACGGGGAGTCCCCCAGCGAACCCTCCGACGAGCAAGTCAGAGAGAGAAGCGGAGAATCTAGATAGATTACAGATAGAAAAGCTTAACCTTTTTCTTATCTTCAACATCTGCTTATATCCTCTGGTAATCATTTCGTTGTCCCTTCCGACCTGTCATCTTGGCCGAAAGTCTATGTTGTAGCTTATCTTGTTCAGGGTGAGGGCGTGTTGTCCCGACGGAGAAGGGTTATCGCAATAAATGCTGTAAGGGGTCTCATTAATGGCGATGTGGCGTAGCAATAACTTTGCAGATCTTTGTTTGCTAATGTGGCTTGCCTTTCTCTCGCCACGTGTCTTGATGTTATTGGTTTTTATTGCTATGTGGGGTTTTAGCAGCGCTGGACTTTAGTATTTGAGATATGTATTGGGCCTTAAACGGTGGGCTATAATCTTTATGGTCTTACCCATGTCAGTAGTCCTCCATTTCCAAGTGCAGCTTTAGTCCAACGAAGGGAATAATGAAGAAAATAAGGGTTGTGAGGGACCGGCAGGGTCAAGGACGACCGGGAGTAGAGCTGAGCAAGGAATCTGTGAAATCCGTAATCCAATCCAATCCAATCCAATCCAGTAGGTTTGGATTGATTTTTTGAATCCGTGGTTTGGTTCCAGATTGAAAAATTAAAAATCTGTAGTTCATGGATTGGTTCCGGATTGAACTCCACGGTTCCGAATTGGAACCGATCCGGACCGTATACAAATAGTCTATATTTTTATTATACACCCTCCTGCATAGTATCTTCTCTTATTTCATATAAAACTTAAATCCAAGCCTAAACTTGCATAGTATCTTCTTTTATTATTTTTGTTTGCTGGTTTTTAGTGTTAATTTGTAATGGTCTAAATACTTATGGTGGAACTAATTTTCTTATGATTGTTTAAATTCTAAAACAGTTTGTCGCTATTATGAAAAGACATGTTGCTATTATGAAACTAATATGGTACTATATTTATATTTTTATGAAATTAAAGTCTTGTATATATTTTTTTGTTATTTAATTATGCAAATCCGTTGTCCTAAATCGATCCAATCCGTGTTTAAATGGATTGGTTCGGATTGGTTCCATGATTTAAATGGATTGGATTGGTTCCAATTTTTCAAGATCCGTAGATAACGGATTGATCCTGGTTTTACTCCAATCTGGTCCAATCCGGACTATGCTCACTCCTAACCGAGAGAGGTGGTCGACCATAAGGGAGGCCGACCGCGAAGGGTGGCTGAGTGGAGGGACCGACCAAGAGAAGGGTCGACCGCGAAAGGCGGCTGAGTGGAGGGACCGACCAAGAGAAGGGCCGACCGCGAAGGGCGGCCGAATGGAGGGACCGACCAAGAGGGGGGCCGATCGCGAAGGACGGTCGAGTGGAGGGATCAACCATGAAGAAGGCTGACCGCGAAGGGTGGCCGAGTGGTGTGGCGCGGGGCTCGAGAGGCGGCGTGGCACGTACTGAAGTGAAGTGGAATAGACAGGGAAGGGAAAGGGGTAGTGGGTCGTGGTCGTACACGTGGCGGAATCGCGTAGTGGGAGAGGTTAGGCATTGGGCAATAAGTGAAACGATAGGTCATTATAGGGTGTTGAAAAGACGGTTTTGGCGAATTTTTGAAAATTTTCAAACTGGCAAAATTTAATTGTGACCCTTGGAATACGGGCAAACCGTGGGCTTTTGGTATTATCCGTTTTATGTACCTTTTTGCAAACAACCAAAATATTTCAAGTGTAAAATCTTTCGTTGCTAGCGACACACCCCTGCAACATTTTGTGAGTTTTCTTGCACCCGCATCTGAAGCCATTCGCAGATACACGACAGGAATGGCCTAGGAAGAAGATAGAACCGCCAGGGTTGTTCCACTTGGGGACGACGATGTGGTGGAGTTGGCAGAGCAGTAAAGGACGGAGCGGCAAGTGGAGAGGTAAGGGGAGAGGTTAGGGGAACTGGCGGGGCGACCTCGTTCGTTGACAATGATAGCGGCTCCGAAGCCAATCAGCCAGGCTGAGCTAGATCACTGGCATACGAAGGCCGACAAGTCAACTGTTACCGCGGAGGAGTTGGAGGGTATGCATAAAAAATACCAAGTTCCCGCAGAAATAGAGTTAATGTTACCAACACCAATGGAGAGGCCATCCGACGCCCGACCGGGGGCGTTCGCCCTTTACGAAGAGGCGTTGAAGGGAGGGTTGAGGTTGCCGCTTTCGCAGATAATAGTGGATGTCCTAAACCGACTGGAAGTGGCACCTGGCCAACTAATGCCCAATGAGTGGAAGATTGTACTGGCCTGTGCAAGTGCGTGGTCGAGGGCGAACGAGGGGGAGGCTATGACGGTGGACGAGTTTTTTGCCTGCTACAAGGCTTCGGGCCAGCAAGAAACTTGGGTCACTTTGTAAGCGGCGGCAGGAAGGGTCTGGTGGTGGAGTTGCCGTCATCGATTAAGAGGTGGAGGCCGCGGTGGTTCTTCGTGTCCGCAAACGGGGGAGTGGGGGTGCGTACGGTGTGGAGAGTGCCCACCAAGTCTATAGAGCTGAAGCTGGGGGCCGTAGCGGAGGAGAGGGTGAAAAATGTGAAGGCATGGAGGGAGAAGGAGGGCATCAAATGGGACGATCCCGTTCAATCGTCAGCTTTGTTTGCCGCAGGATTGGGCCCTCGGCCGACCAGTGGAGATCTGGCACCGACGAAACTAGAGGTGAGAAGGAAAGCGTAGGAGGCGGAAGATCGGACCATTTTTTCTAAAGCCCAAAAGTTCAAGGAAGTGTAGCTAGGCCCGCCACCAAAATCGGTCACAAAGGAAAGAATTCGACCGCGCCCCAAGCCGTTGGGGGAAAAAGACTTGGGCAGCTTTGAGCCACGACCGCCCCCAGTTGATCCGGTGAAGGAAAGGGCAAACAAGGAGGCGGAGGCTTTGAAGAAGAAGAAGAAGAGGAGGGTTCCCCCTGAGGGGGCCTCAGATGTGCCTGGGTTGAAGAAGGTGAGGATTGGGGGGGAGGTTACCCCCATGGTGGAGGAGGCAAGGGAGAAGGGAGTAGAGGCGACCCCAGAAAGGGTGGTTCTCCCAGACGTGCAAGGGGACAAAGGTCAAGGGGGCCAGGAGGAAGAAGATCACCTGAGTGCCGTGCCCAAGGTGTTAGTGGAGAGTGGGTCAGCTGGTCCTGTAGAGGGAGTGGAGCAACAATCCAGGGGGGGCCTGCTGTCCAAGGAGATGAGGTCAGGCTGACGACTGCTATCTACCATGCTCACGCAGTGTCTGGGCGGCTGGAGGGAGAAGAAGGCCCAGCTAGGGTAGCTGCAGATCGCCTTGTGGGGGTAGTGGACTAAGCAGCCGTGTGCTCAGTGGCCAGGTTCAATGAGGCTGAGCTACTGAGGGGGTTGTGCTCTGCCCAAATGGAGGTAACCACCTTAGCAGGGGCTCTGCTGAGAAAGGCGGAGGCTGCGAAGGCCAAGTTAGAAAAGGCGAAGGCCCAGCTTGTAAGTTTCAAGAAGGAGAGTGCAGGCTGGAAGAAAGCTGTGCGAAGCGCGTATGCCAGGGGTTGGGAGGAGGCTGAGAAGGCGAAAAAGATAGGGGTGTTGGCGGTAGTGCAGAAGAATGTTGTCGATCGCACCCACTCTGAGCTGCGAGCGGTCAAGTTGGAGCTGGAGGATAAACGCTGTAGAGTGGTGTCGCTTGAGTTCCAGCTAGCTGGCGAGCGGAAGAAGGTGAAAGAGGAGCAGAAAGCCTGCACCATCGCCAACGAGCGGTGGGATGAAGCAATGGTTAGCAACGAAGAGCTTCGTGCTCAGTCAATCAAAGAGAAAGAAGAGTTAGATCACAAGATTGCTGAGTTGGAGCGAGATCTTGCAGACGAGTGCGCTAAGGCTGCGGCAGAAAAGGCAGCGCTGGAGAAGGAGTTGGCAGATGAGCGTGCTAAGGCGGTGGCAGAGAAGGTTAGGTTGGAGAAGGAGTTGGAGGAAGAAAAGACCAAAGTAGCGTCTGAAAGGGCAGCATATACTGACTTACGCGTCGCAACAGTAGAGCAATTCAAAGGGTCTCTTGACTTCCAGATGGCGATTGATGCTGCGATCACCAATAACCTGGCAAGGGAGGCGTCTGGAGGGGTTGGTCCGTTGGGGGCAACTGTTGGGAGCAGGAGTGAAGAAGAAGTAATCCAGAGCTTCCAGCAGTCGGACTTCTACAAACACGAGATGGTTGAGTTCTGGGACAATGGCTGGAAGATGTTCAAACGCAAAGCAGAAGAGCTGTTCCCAGGCTTGGACTTCAGCAGTGTGCGAATTGACGAAGACGACGTGGCCCAGACCCCCTTGGATGAAGGTGTGGAAGAAGAAGACCTCATTTCAAGTGAGGAAGAATAATTGAAGTGAACAAAATTTGTATTTAGAGTTGTTTTTGTGTGTTTGTTTTGTTTTTTATTTTTTTTGTTGAAGTACTGTTGATAAACCTATGTACAAGGTGTGAATGAATAAAATTATGAGCTATATTTGCGTTTGTCTGAAATGAATTTTTGAATTGCTATAATTGTTGAATTGTTGTCTTCATTTTTGTGAGTCTGAAATGAATGAAGAATGGTTTATTGAAATTAGGCTTGACTTGTAAGAAAAGAGGCTAACTTGCAAAAGTTGATAAGTAAGAAAATAATCTGACTTGTAAGAATGTCAAAAATGTGAAGTTTCAAATTACGCCCAAAAATATTTTGCAAGAGTGTTGAGAAATGTGAGGTTGGTTTGGGAAGTGCAAGTCAAAAAGTAAAAACGTAAAGAGTGTCGTAGGAACATGGACCTAGAATTTGACTAAGTATGGTTAGTATGCTACAACCATGAAGTTTACGTGAATGTCCTCGACCGAGCTCTACATCCGTGCTCAGTTTGGGATAAGCTATGATGAACTGACCCTTCAAGTAATTCAGTAGCTTTAAGTAACTCAGTCTGGCCGAGCTCTTCGGGCTCAGAGGAACGCAGGCTGGCCGAGTTTGTCATGCTTGGTCTGGTTGAGGCTTGTTATGCTCAGTCTAGCTGAGGCTTGTTACGCTCAGTCTGGCTGAGGCTTGTCATGCTCAGTCTGGCTGAGGCTTTTATGCTCAGTCTGGCTGAGGCTTGTTACGCTCAATTTGGCTGAGGCCTATCATGCTCAGTCTGGCTGAGGCTCGTCGTGCTCAGTCTGGCTGAGGCTTGTCATGCTCAGTCTGGCTGAGGCTTGTCGTGCTCAGTCTGGCTGAGGCTTCAATCAAAGTGTTATTTGAATGATTACACGGATATTTGAGATATAAGCTTGTTGTCATTAAAGTGTAGCCCATTGGATCAGGAATTTACATCACATGAGAGGAGAATGAGAACAATAAAGTGTGCAAATGGCCAAAAAAGAAATACAACAAAAGATTGATACAAGAATTGGACTTTTATTGAAAATAGCACTTCAAGTACTCGACGTTCCATGGGTGGGGGAGATCTCAGTCTTCCATGTCCTGAAGTCGGTAGGTGCCTGGACGAGGTCTGGCTTTAACAACGAAGGGTCCGTCCCACTTGGCTACCAGTTTGCCCTCAGTCGGATTTTTGGTGGCAAGAGTTACTTCTCGCAAAACAAGGTCCCCCACGGCGAATTCCCCTGGTCTGACTTTACGGTTGTAGTGTGTTCTCATTTTCTGTTGGTATGAGGCCCATCTGACTGCGGTGGTTTCTCGGAGTTCTTCAATCAGATCTAGGTCTGCCCGACGCAGCTCTTCGGTTAGTTCTGGATTTGGATGTAGAACCCTTGGGTTAGGCAGATCGATTTCCACTGGGATGACTGCCTCAGCGCCGTATGTCAAGCAAAAGGGAGTCTTCCCAGTGGGAGTTCAGGCAATAATGCGGTAGGCCCAAAGTACATTCGGTAATTCCTCAGCCCAGAGTCCCTTAGCAGCTTCCAGTTTAGTTTTGATGATCTTCAGAAGAGAACGGTTAGTGACCTCAACTTGGCCATTGGCTTGGGGATGGCCTGGAGAGGAGAAGCATGACTGGATTTGGAGCTCGGTACAAAATTTCCTGAACTTGACGTTGTCAAATTGTTTACCGTTGTCGGAGACGATGGCTTGAGGAATGCCAAATCTGCAGACGATCGACTGCCAGATGAATCTGGTTGTGTTCCGATTGGTAATTGTGGCAAGGGGTTCTGCTTCCACCCATTTAGTGAAGTAATCGATGGCGACAATGGTGAATTTGGTTTGGCCTCGGCCCGTGGGCAATGGGCCGACCAGGTCGATTCCCCATTTGGCGAACGGGTAGGGGCTGTAGAGTGTGATCAATTTTGTAAGAGGGGCATAGGGGATATTGGCAAAGCGTTGACACTTATCACATTTGAGCACGAAGTCTGTCGCATCTTAATTGAGAGTGGGCCAGAAATAACCAGTGCGAAGTATTTTGTGGGCTAACGACCTGCCACCCGAATGATTGCCGCATACGCCCTCATGGATTTCTCTCATCACGTAAGTCGCCTGAGCAGGATTGAGGCATCTGAGGTATGGGCGTGAAAAGCCCCTCTTGTACAAAAGACCATCGATAAGAATGTAATTGGACGGCCGAACCCTGACTTTGGCAGCCTGCTGTTTGTCATTTGGTAGTTTTCCCGTTGTCAAAAATAGAAAGATGTCGGATGCCCAGGGGATAGGTTAATTTTGCTGGTCGAGGGAGATGACAAGGTAGGTCAGCTATTCGAGGCGGACACCATGGTTGAGATCTGACTGGTCTATAGAGGCTAATTGAGCCATCTCATCTGCCTTGGAGTTTTTCGCCCGAAGGATGTGCTGGATTTGGAAAGTATTGAAAAGACGAGCGAGGGGGAGTGCAAGATCCCTATAAGCCCGCATTGTGTCGCTCTTGGCATCGAATTTCCCCGTAATTTGTTCAACAATAAGCTAGGAGTCACTGAACACTCGGATATGGCTGACACCAATGTCTCTGGCTAGACGGAGACCTGCGATCAATGCCTCATACTCGGCCTCATTATTGCTGGCATCGAACAGGAAATTGAGAGCACATTTGAAATAACCACCGTTAGGGGCGGTGAGGATGAGACCAGCTCCACTGCCTTCTTTGCGGGATGATCCGTCGACGTTGAGGGTCCAAGAGTGGGGGTCTTCTGGCTCGGTAGGGGTTGGTGGGGGTGAAGGAGTTGTGGTTGGGGTGGGGTTAGTGAATTCCAGGATGAAGTCAGCAATAGCCTGTCCCTTAATTGCTGTCCGAGGCCGGTAGGAGATATCAAACTGACTGAGTTCGACCGACCATTGCATAAGCCTACCGGAGAGCTCTGGTTGTTGCATTATCTTCTTCAACGGTTGGTCAGTGAGGATAACTATGGAATGGGCTTGGAAGTAAGGGCAGAGTCATCTGGAGGTGGTGACCAAGGCCAATGACATTTTTTTCTAACAACGGGTAGTTTGGTTCCGCCCCCCGAAGAGCCCGACTGATGTAGTAGACCGGTCCCTGGACAGATCTGTCTTCTCTGACGAGTGTTGTACCGACTGCAGTGTGTGACATGGCTAGATAGAGAAAGAGGGTTTCGCCCGTGATGGCTAGAGAAAGTAAGGGGGGTTAGCCATGCACTATTTCAACTGTTGAAAGGCCTCTTTAGATTCTGCCGTCCACTCAAAAGTTTGCCAAAGGACTTTGAAGAAAGGGAGGCACTTATCCGTTGCTCGGGAAATGAAGCGGTTGAGGACGACCACTCGGCCAGTAAGCCTCTGAACCTCCTTGACCATTCTGGGCGACTGCATTTCGATTAAGGCCTTGATCTTTTCAAGGTTAGCCTCGATGCCCCGTTGACTGACCATGAACCCCAAAAACTTGCCAGATCTTACGCCGAAGACACATTTTTCCGGATTGAGCTTCATTTGGTACTTTCGTAGGTTGGCGAAGGTTTCTTGCAGGTCGGCCAGATGATCGGTGGAGAGTTTGCTCTTGAACAACATGTCATTGACATATACTTTCATGTTCCGGCCTATCTGATTAATGAAGACGGCATTGACCCATCGTTGATAAGTGGCCCCGGCATTCTTTAACCCAAATGGCATCACCCGGTAATGGTAGGTACCTCGGTCGGTGATGAAGGAGATGTGCTCCTGGTCAGATGGGTGCATCAAGATTTGGTTGTATCCAGAGAATGCATCCATGAAACTGAGCATTTGATGACCGACCGTGGCGTCGACCAGTAGATCTATGCGAGGGAGAGGGTAGCTGTCCTTGGGGCAAGCTCGGTTGAGGTTAGAGTAGTCGACACAGGGTCGCAATTTACCATTGTTTTTACGAACTAGAACCACATTCGACAGCCATCTGGGGTAGTCCACATTAGTGATAAACTGTGTCTCAAGGAGTTTGTCTACTTCAGAAGCAATAAGGTTATTGCGTTCCGGGTGAAAAATGCGCTGCTTTTGGCGGATAGGTCGAAAATGGGGATCAACACTAAGACGGTGGTTGATGAAGGAGTGATCAATTCCCGGCATATCGGAGTGAGTCCAAGCAAACATGTCGTTGTGTTCAACCAGGAGGGCAGTGAGGTCGACCTTGGCTTTGGGGGATAGTTGGCTGCCGATCTTGGCAGTTTTGGCCGGGTTGGTGGGGTCGACGCGGACTTCGACGAGTTCCTCCACTGGTTCCCCTCTGACTAGCTCGTCTTCATCTTTGACATCGAGTCCTTCAATGATCATAGCCTCTTTCAGCTTGATTTCTTTAAGTGAGGCGACATAACATCCTCTAGCCACGGTCTACTCTCCCTTCACTGTTCCGATCCTAAGATCGGTGGGGAACTTGATGGCAAGATGATATGTGGATGTGATAGCTTGAAAAATATTTAGGGCAGTACGACCAAGGATGATGTTGTAGGCAGAGGGGCAGTCAACAACAAGAAAGGTGAGCAACTTTGTGGTCTGCCGCGGGTACTTGCCAATTGTGATAGGAAGATCGATGGAGCCGATGGAGGTCACCCGGTCGCCAGTGAAACTGACCAAAGGGGTTTGGAGGGGAGACAGACTTTCTTCCCCAATCTTGAGCTAGCAGAAGCAGTTGAGGAAAATGATGTCTGAAGAACTGCCGTTGTCGACGAGAACCCATCTGACCTTGTAATTGGAGAGGAGGACAGAGATGACGAGAGGGTTTTCATGGGGGTAACGGATGCCTGTGCAGTCGGCGTCCGTAAACGTGATAGGCTCGGTCCACTGTCTGAGCTGTTTGGAGGGTCGGTCTAGTGTGACAACTTCTTTGTCTAAGCCCTGTCTTATTTTCCTGAGTTCTGCCTTCTGAGCCGAGCGGGATGGGCCTCCACAAGCAAGCTCGCCAGTAATAACTCTGATTTCTCCAACAGGTGGAGCAAGGTTACCTTGTGCCCGGGGTTGCTGCGGAGGGCGGTCATGACCTTGGTTAGGTTGTGCTGGTTGTCGGGGAGGTATGCGCCGGTAGTTGTTTCTGATGGGTTTAGTCTGCTGCCTCTGCTGAGGGCGAGTATCCGTGAATTGGCTGAGGCATCCTTGACGAATCAGGCTCTCGATATGATCTTTGAGGTTAACACACTCCTCGGTATTATGGCCGTGATCCTGGTGAAAACGGTAATATTTGGACTGGTCTTTCCGATTGGAAGGAGTCCGTGATGGTTGGGGCCATTTTAGGGGGTAGTCCCGCTGGATCTAATGGAGGACTTATTCCATGGGGGAATTAAGGGGTGTGTATCGCTCGAACCAACCGGGCGGTCGGCCTGGTGCCGACCGGTCGGCTCGAGGGGGTTGGTTGGTTGGTATAATGCGGTGTTTGGTTATTGTACTGGGTGTTCCTGGCTTCTGAGTTTTTTTGCTTTTCTCGGGAGGTTGGGTTTTTTGTTGTAGGGTCTTGGCGAGCGGCTAGGGAATCTTCTGCGTTCATGTATTTTTGGGCTTTGGAGAGTAGAGCTGCCATGGAGGTCGGGGGGTTTTTTGAGAGGGAGAAAAGGAAATCAGATGACCGTAGGTTAGCCATGAAAACCGTAAGGATGACCTTGTCATCGTTTTCCGCTACCTACAAGTCTTCGGTGTTGAAGCGGGTAACGAAACTGCGCAGCGACTCCCCCTCGGTCTGACAGATATTGAGGAGTTGGGTTGCTGGACGTCGCTGGCGTTGGGCTCCTATGAAATGGCTAAGGAAGGAGTCACTGAGGTGCTGAAAAGTGGAGACGGAGTCTGTTGGGAGTTGACTAAACCAAAGTCGAGGCGACCCCTTGAGTGTTACGGGGAAAGCTCGACACATGATCTCGTCGGGGAATGCATGGAGGATCATGAGGGTTCGGTAGGTCTCCAAGTGATAGACTAGGTCTGTTGTACCGTCGAAAGAGTCGATGGTGGGCATTTTAAACTTAGGAAAGAGAGGTTTGTCTCTGATGGAGGCGACAAACAGGGAGTTGGCTGTGGTAGATGGTTTATGTTGTATATTCTGCATGACCCCTTGGAGTTGGAGCTTCATGGCTCGGAGTTCTGCGTCCTAAAGAGGGATGTTGTCACCACCGGAGGGGAGCTGGGGTTGGACGCTGCTGGCCTCCCCTTCAGGGGTTGGTGTCGGGATCGATGGTTGTGGGCCCCAAGGTAGCACGTTTATACCCGGGGGAGAGGGTTGCAAGCCTTCCCAGTTGTGTGGATTAGGCTGCGGGATAGTATGGCTCGGGGCTCATTCTTGGTTGGGGGGAATATCTGGAGGTGGTGGAGGGGGCATAGGAATATTTCTTTAGAGTAGAGTATTAATAAGGGCTTGGTTTTGCTCGGCCATGCGGTTAATGCTGTTGGTAAGCTCGATGAAATATTGTGGTGGCTTGTTTGGATTGGGGAGGTCGGTCTTATAGTCGGCTGCATTATGGTGAGAAGCCATGGATCCAGTCGTGACCATACACTTTGATGGGTAGTAAGAAAGGGTTATTGGGACAGGGTCTCCGACGACAATGAGCACAACCAGCGTGCGGAGCAAAGCTTTTCCACAAACGGCGCCAACTGATAATACAGTTTGTGATGATAGGATGGGCCGAACTGATCCACGCTCCTCAAGCCTATGTCCGAATTACCAAGTCCACCGGAAGACCTGCACAAGAGTTCAACGGGAAACGGGGAGTCCCCCAGCGAACCTTCCGACGAGCAAGTTAGAGAGAGAAGCGGAGAATGTAGATAGATTAAAGATAGAAAAGGTTAACCTTCTTCTTGTCTTCAACATCTGCTTATATCCTCTGGTAATCATTTTGTTGTCCCTTTCAACTTGTCATCTTGGCCGAAAGTCTATGCTGTAGCTTACCTTATTTAGGGTGAGGGCGTGTTGTCTCGACAGAGAGGGGTTATCGCAATAAATGCTGTAAGGAGCCTCATTAATGGCGATGTGGCGTAGCAATAACTTTGTAGATATTTGTCTGCGGATGTGGCTTGCCCTTCTCTCGCCACGTGTCTTGATGTCATTGGTTCTTATTGCTATGTGGGACTTTAGCAGTGCTGGACTTTAGTATTTGAGATATGTATTGGGTCCTAAGCGGTGAGCTATAATCTTTATGTGCTTACCTATATCAAAAGGAATTACTCAAATTTAAAATAAATGATTGGATATATCTTTTTTTTTATTTTATGAAGAAAGTTAGGGATCATGACATTATTATTATTTTTTTTTTATATTTTGAAATGCAGAGCATATAATTGTCAATCAGAATGAGTGATTTAATAATTCCATTGCATTATAGTTTACTATGTCATAATTAATTCCTAGTTAATTAGGAGTAAATGATCAATTATGGGTGGGAGGGTTTTTTTATTTAATAAGCCAAATGATAACGGCAAATCGGTAAATAAAAGGACAGTCAAATTTGAAAGTGGAGGGCAAAACGGGAAAGTAGGTAATGATGTTCACGGGTGGCAAGGCCAGGCTCCAACCCGGCAGTGACGAAAACCAGCGGGACCTGGGGATGCTGTTTATGAGTGTGTAGAGGTTTTTCGTGGAGTATTTTTTTATAATTTGAATAGTTTGTATTAGAATATTTATTAAGTATATTATTTATATAAAGAATTAAATTAATTAAAAATTGATAATTTTATGATTAAATTTAAATTATTTTATAAAAATTATCAAAATAGTGTCAACTGTTTATTTTTATAAAAATAAATATATTCTTGTAATATATTTTCAATCAATTTAATATTTTTTATAAATAATTTATTTAATAAATTTTATAATATACAAAAAATATATAATGAATTTAATATATACACATTTTATTTTAAAAATAAATTTATTCATAAAAATGATATTATTTTTTTATACGAATGTGTATGAATGAAGATTTTCTTCTCAATTTTTCTTCTTCTATTTTGTTCATTGTATAATACTTCTATAAAATCCAATATATGAGGACAGAAAGTAAGAAAATTCTAGAGAAAATATAACTTGAGTGTGAGAATTGGATTTTGAGCTGTTCTACAATTTTGCTTTAAAGAAAATCTAAAAAGTATTAAAATATAAATTAAAATGATTTTGATTAAGGTGTTGGGAACATTTTAAAAAGTTATTTCTTAATTTATTTTATTTTTAATATTTTTTTAAATTATGTTAATTTTTTTTTTTTTACTTTTACAATCCATCTAAAAAATATTTTTTTCATAAAAAAAAGTTAAAATAAGCCTAAATTTTTTCATTATTTTTTACTTTTTATTTTTTATTTTTAGTTTGTCTTATTAGGGTTGTTTGGAAAGAAGTTTTTTTTAATTTTTTGGACTAAAATAGTATTAAAAGATAAAATAGATTACAATAGTTAAAAATTCATAATAATTTCATTTTTTTCTCACACACATTACATCTAACTATAAAAAAATTCAACCAACTTTCCGAACACAATTATTTTAACCTATTAAAACAGTCAAAACACATATAGCCAACTTTCCAAACAGAAGCATTAAACTAAATCAAGAAACTTATGGGTTCGTTTGGTTTGCATTTCGGAAAAAATCTTGGGAAATTTTCTCTACAAATAAGTTTTTAAAAGTAATGAAACCAAACAAATTTTCTCAAAAAAATTTCTCAAAACTTGTAAACCAAACAAGTTTTCCAAACAAATCTCTCTCTCACACACATCAAATCAATCACTTTTTCCAAAACTCTCTCTTAAAATAATTTTCCAAAACATCTTTTGAAAAAAACCAAACCAAACAACTTTTCGTACTTTTTATCTCTAAAACACATCTCTCAAACACAAACCAAACATACCCTATAATTTAAAAAAAAAAAAATTACTATCGAAAATAAGCAATATATATTTAAATAAGCAATCAAAATACACACTTATTATTTATTAGAATGAGTAAGGCTATATATTTTAAATTTACAAATTCATTGATAATAATGTAACAAAGAAGATAAATCTTATATCCTTAAGTCTATAATTAATTAAAAATTCAGACTTACCATATTATCACAATATAAGTGAAATTGTAATTTTTTTTTTTATGATGTCAAACATTTTCCAATTAGAATCTCATTATACAAAAGTAGATCTCAGCCCTACACTTTGCGGTTCAATTTTTTGTGTCTGTCTCTGGGTCCATATCCATCTACTTTCTGTTTGTTTGGATTTTTGCTGAGAGGCAGAGTTGGATTTTTGCTGAGAGAGAGAGAGAGAGAGAGAGAGAGAGAGTAAAGCAAAAGTCCGTCCCATTTCTGAAAGAAAGGACTCGGGCTCGGGTTGTTTTATTTTGTTTGTTAGAGGTGAGCGGTGCGTAGGATAAGCGAGAGAGAGAGAGAGAGAGAGTACTAGTCAGTGCGTCTGTCTGTCACTTGATGGTGGTGAAATCAAATGAGCTCTAACACCTACACAGCTTTTTTTTTATCAGATAACACCGACACAGCTTGAGCGTGGTGGAAGTGGTCTACAATGGCAATGGGAGATGCGCATTTTAGCAGTGGGCGGAGGAGCAGAAGAGTAGTTGTGACAGTGGTTGTATTCTTCTTCTTCTGGGGTCTGATCTCGCTATCTTGCGCCGCTAGGTTGCCCATCTCAAAGCAGAAGTTTCAAGTCCAGAAGCATTTGAATCGCTTGAACAAACCCGCCCTTAAAACCATTCAGGTTCTCTCTCTCTCTCTCTCACTCTCTCTCTCTCTCTCTTTCTCTCTCTTATTTTTTCTTTCTTTTTCCTTTTTTCTGTTGAATGGAAATTTCCCTTTTTTGTTTGGTTGCTGAGAAAATGTAGGAAAGTAGAAGGGAAAAACAACACTCACGAGTGCTAATATGCTTTTTTGTCCTTTTTTCTTTAGCTGCTTTTCGTTTCTCTGTTTTCTTTTCTTCTAAGGATAAATTCGGTTCTAATCGGTCATTTTTGTAGGATCCGGTTCACTTAAATGGAATTCCTCTTTTCTTGATTTGTTTTCTTTTCCCACATTTTCTAGACTGCCAAACAGGGAAAAAAATGTTAGTAACTTCTGTGGGATTTTTTGGCTGTTGGAGTAGCAATGATTTTTTGGGATGATGAAGATGATCCGTCGCCTGTCTTTTATGTACAATGATGGTCTCCTTTTTATATCCAAATCAGTATTTTGGTATTTTGAAAAAGAAAATATGCATTCTGTATTTAAATCGGAGTAGTATTCTGAGAATTGGAAGTAATAATTACTATAAAAGATATCTCATATTTGCGTTCTAATAATTTTTGGACGATTGAACAGAGCCCAGATGGGGATATCATTGACTGTGTTCACATCTCTCAGCAACCAGCTTTTGATCACCCATTCCTCAAAGACCACAAAATTCAGGTTAATCAGTAGCTTCTAAACTATATATATGTTTAAATTTTTTTGTTTTTGTTTTTGTTTTTGTTTTTCCCTTCATGGTTTTGATTTTTATGTTTTCAGATTAGGCCAAGCTATCACCCAGAAGGGCTTTATGATGTGTTTGAGAACAAGGTTTCTACAGAGAACAATGACGGAACAAATGCAATTACTCAGCTCTGGCACGTCAATGGTAGGTGCCCTGAAGATACTATACCCATTAGAAGAACAAAGGAGGAAGAAGTGCTGAGAGCAAGCTCAGTGAAAAGATATGGAAAGAAGCAACATAGAAGCTTCCCTCAGCCCAGGTCTGCAGATCCTGACCTCATCAACCAAAGTGGTCATCAGGTAAATCAATGAAAAGGAACGTAATCCTCACCACCACACACACACGAAAAAAAAAAAAAAAACAAACCAAACCAAACCAAACAAGTTTAGAGCTGACATTTTTCTTGATTTGGTGATGTTGATTTCTTTGAACTAATATTTTTGGTTTTTTTGGGTTAATTTTGCGGGTTATCAGCATGCAATAGCTTATGTTGAAGGAGACAAGTACTATGGAGCAAAAGCAACCTTAAATGTGTGGGAACCCAAAATACAGCAGCCTAATGAGTTCAGCTTGTCTCAGATTTGGATATTGGGTGGTTCTTTTGGTGAAGATCTCAACAGCATTGAAGCTGGTTGGCAGGTGTATTTTTCTAACTCAAATTCTGGATTTACTCACCACCTTAAAATGAAAATACATTCTTCTGATTTGATTGCATTTTTTGTTCCACAATTGAATTGGAGTCTGATTGTAGAGTGAATATGATTTCAGGTCAGCCCAGATCTTTATGGTGATAACAACACAAGATTGTTCACTTACTGGACTGTAAGCTTTCAAAAAATTCTCACTCTGGTTTTGGGTTTTTGTCACTTTTGATTTTCCACAATCATATCTTCACAGTTTTAATGGTTTTTTTGGGGGGTTATTTCTCTTAAAATATTGTAGAGTGATGCATATCAAGCCACAGGTTGCTATAATCTACTGTGCTCAGGCTTCATTCAAATCAGCAGTGAAATAGCGATGGGAGCAAGCATCTCCCCTGTCTCTGGCTATCGTAATTCCCAATACGATATCAGTATTCTTGTCTGGAAGGTAAAATCCAAAACAATCCCACTCGGTCTTGGTTATTAAATTAATGGATTTTTGTAATACACCCAGGAAAATCTAAGACTGGTGGGTGGATTGTCAAGGATGGCATTGAAAATGCTTGCACGAACAAAATGCAACCTTGACAAAATTGGTAGACCAAAAATAAGTAGTTTATATTGATGTGATGAAAATTAAAAAAAAAATACTTTAGGTTATTCTTAAAATTAAATAAAAGAAGAGGAATGTGGGAAGGAAAGTTGCATCATGAAAAGTAAAGACTCAAAATTGGGTCATGCATCACACCTGATAAGAGAGTACCTCATCCAGTCATCCCTTACGGACTAGATAAATAATTTAGGCTCAGATCAGACGCAGGGAATCTGGGCATTTTTCTTCTGGTTACTGATCTGGACACTCACTGTTCTGGATAAAGCCATGGAGGGTACTCTACTCACAGTAAATGAAAAGTTATTGTAGCTTTCTGACTGTTCTGGATAAAGCCATGGAGGGTACTTATTGATTTGCTCATCACTCCTTTTTTTTTTCGTTTCTTTTTTTTGCTAACTCGGATTGGAATGATGATGATTATAATTATTTTTAATGTAGGATCCAAGAGAGGGAAACTGGTGGATGCAATTTGGGAATGGATATGTGTTGGGGTATTGGCCATCGTTCTTGTTCTCATACTTGGCAGACAGTGGATCCATGATAGAGTGGGGTGGGGAGGTAGTGAATTCAGAAGCTGATGGGCAACACACCTCAACTCAAATGGGGAGTGGTCATTTCCCTGAAGAAGGATTTGGGAAATCAAGCTATTTCAAGAATATTCAAATTGTGGATAGCTCCAACAACCTCAAGGCTCCTAAAGGGATTGGCACTTTCACTGAGCAATCTAATTGCTATGATGTCCAAACTGGCACTAATGGGGATTGGGGTCACTACTTTTACTATGGAGGCCCTGGTAGAAACGCTAATTGTCCATGAACAAACCCTTGGGAATCCCATTACCCCTCTGTGTCAGTCTTAATGGAGTGCAATGTCTTTCTTATCTCTTATCTTTTTTCTTTCTTTTTTAACTTTTAGGTCGGGTTAGCAAATGTAATATTTTCTGTAGTGGTGGGAAGTTTTTGGCTCTTGCTTTTGGCTTAAAAGTTGTTCTTATGTAAAGTGATTGGGGAATCCATGTAAAGTGATTGAGTAACTGGCAAAGTTTCTCGTAAAGCGTCTAAGAAATGATCCGTTCTAGGAATGATTCGTTCTGAGTCGTGAGTAATGTTAGAGACTACATTTAAGACTCATAAAGCCACCTACAATGATGTGATAATGGAGTAGGATCCTATATATGATTTAGATGTGTAACAATTAGAAATTGATACATATAATATCATATCATTGTGGGTATAATACTAAAAGTGCTTTGTGAGTCTTAAATATTTTTCTTGAGTCATTGCCCTTCTATATTAATGGGTTTGGTTTTAAAAAAACAAAAAAAAAAAAAAATTCTAGGATTAGTAGTAGTACCAAACTTATAATCATATATGTAATGTAACCCATGGGTAATATGATGGCTATTTGTACCTGTGTATCTCAGTTGGGTTGGAGGCCACCAACCGGTGGTTTCTTCGAGATAAACTACCAAGATAAATTTTGATGGCGCTTGCTTTGCGTCGGAGGGTTTAGTGGGAGTTGGGGTTGTTGTCTGGGACCATGACGGAGCTGTTAATGTGGCTATGTCAGGCATAACATGGATGCGCGGTGGGACGTGGAGTGTATTGAAGCTTGGGTTGCCTTCAGAGCAGTTCAATTTGCTGTCGATCTGGGTTTGTAGGACATCATCTTGGAGGGTCTATTATTCGGGCTCTTATCTCGTTGAGTGAGCAATTGTCCAATTTTGAACATTTAGTTGATGCTACTTGACATCGGTGGGCTTACAAAAGGTTTTGGCCTATCACTTAGAGCCCAATTCGCAACTCAAGTACTAAAGCCTAACACCCTTGAGAACCCAGAGTTGAATTAGAAACCAAAGGTATTTAAACACTTGTCAAACAGGGGACCAGCCACGTAAGTAAACAAAGATCATGTAGAGTTATTGCACCACACATCAGCCATTAATGAGGCTCCTGCAGCATTAAATGCAGTAACCCCTTCACGACGGAATGAGCAGCCTCACCATGAACAATGTAAGCTAGAGTATAGATTTTCGTCCAACACGATAGGTCAGAATGGACAAAGAAATGATGGACAAAGGATATAAGGAGGCTTCCAAGACACAAAAAGGAGGTTAAGTTCTCTATTATTATTCTCTCTCTCTACATACCATCAATCTCTCTCTTTTCTAATTTGATTGTTTGAGAGTCCGTTGGGGGACTCCCGTTTCCTGTTGGACATTTTTGCAGGTACTCCAGTGAGCTTAGTGACTGGTGAACAGTGTAGGAAGCGTGGGTCAGCCCGACTCGCCCTCCAAGGATCAACAATATCATCAGTTGGTGCCATTTGTGGAAACGCCACTACGGGTAACAATTGTGCTCGTTGTTGCTGGAGACCCGTTCCCGATAATTCCTCCTTATCGGCCATCAAGGTGGATGATCACAACGAGATCCATGGCTTCTCAACACAATGTCGTTGACCCCCAAACCAACCCTCCTAACCCAAACAACCCACCTAAGTACTTCACAGAACTCACCAACAACATCAATCGCTTGGCCGAGCAAAACCAGGTGTTGATTAACGCCTTGCTCCAGCGAAACCTCCCTATACCTCCTCCACCACCACAAGATATCCCTCCCAATCGAGAACAAACCCCGAGCCATCCTTTCTAACAAGCCCACCTCTCCAACTTAGAGGGTCTGCAAGCCTCACCTCAAGACATGAACCCGCCATGTCGGGGTTTATATCCATCAATTCAAGCACCTGCTCTTAAAGGAGAGGCTTGTAGTGTTCAACCCTCACTGCACTCTGGAGGTGACAATGTTCCTATTTGGGATGCGGAACTCCAAGACATGAAACTCCAGTTTCAAGGAGTCATGCAGAACATACAAGAAAAAACCCTCCACAATAGCCAACTCCCCGTTTGTCACCTCCATCAGGGACAAACCCCTACCCTCCAAGTTCAAAATGCCCTCGATCGACTCATTCGGCGGCACAACGGATCCGGTTGACCATTTGGAGACCTACAGGACCCTTATGATCCCTATGCTTTTCTTGACGAGATCATGTGTCGGGCTTTCCCTGTGACGCTTAAGGGGTCGGCTCGACTATGGTTTAGTCAGCTGCCACCAGACTCTGTCTTTACTTTCCAACACCTAAGTGATTCCTTCTTGAGCCATTTCATTGGTGCTCAGTGCCAGCGACGCCCAGCAACTCAACTATTTAATATCCATCAGACAAAAAAGGAGTCACTACGTAGCTTTGTCACCCGTTTCAACAGCGAAGCCCTACAAGTGGCGGAAAACGACGACAAGGTCATCCTCACAACCTTCATTGTCAGTTTATGACCATTCGATTTCCTTTTCTCCCTTTCTAAAAACCCTCCAACCACCATGGTCACCCTCATCTCCAAAGCCGAAAAATATATGAATGCCGAAGACTCTTTGGCAGCCCGCCAAGATACTATAACTAAAAATCCAACCCCTAGGGAGAAAAGAAAGGAATCCAAAACCAAACCTTCCCAATATACACAGCAAACCCCTCAGTATACAAACTGAATCGCTCGAACCGACCGACCGGTACCTACCCAACCGCCCGGTCGATTCGAGCGATACACCCCCCTTAATTCCCCCATGGAACGAGTCTTGAACCAAATCCAATGAGATTACAACCTGAAATGACCCTAACCATCACGATCTCCCTCCAACCGGTGAGATCAATCCAAGTACTGCCGTTTCCATCAAGACCACTGTCACAACACTGAGGAATGTGTTAACCTTAAAGACCAGGTAAAGGATTTGATACGTCAGGGACGCCTTAGTCGATTCACGGCAGCCCGTCCCCAGCAGCAACATTCTTAACCTCTTTACGCATTATGTTATTCACTGGGCTTTAGCTCACGACTCATATATATATATATATATATGTAAGTGTACAGGCACCAGACCGCGGCTAGGAGCGTCAGGATTCCTCCAGTTTTGTCAAGCCAGCCTATGTGCCTCACTGCGAGGTTCCGAGCCTAACCGTTAAGGCTTAGGGGTGTTTTAGATTTTCCCCTTCTGTACTGTCTTACCGTTCTGTATAGACTGTCAACTGTTTACTGTACTGTTATCAGGGATTAAGTCCCTGTACTGTGTGATTGTAAATGTTGTGCATACTGTTCTATACTGTTTATGTATAAATGTATGAGAAGTCTTTTTGCATACAGACTGTCACAGCTCATTGGGCACTGTTTATTTACTGTATTGGCTTCCGCCAGGCCCTGTACTCTGTTTTACTGTACTATTGTCCTGCAGGCCTTCGGTAATCTCGGATTACTGGCCGGTTACGGTGCTAAACCCATAGGGCCGGGTTTGGGTCGTGACAGCAACCAAGTACCGACTCGCCTGGGGGCCACCGCCGACATACCCCCCTGACAACCTGTACAACCTAAGTGAGACAATGATCGGCCCCCACCACAACCCTGAGCACAAGGCAATCCTGCCCCTCTGGTCGAAGAGATCAGAGTTATCACTGGCGGGCTCGTATGCGGAGGTCCATCCCGTTCGGCCCAGCGAGCCGAACTCAGAAAAATCAGATAAGGTTCCGATAAAGAAGTCACGACATTGGATCGCCCCTTCAAACACCCCATGCAGCGGACCAAACCCATCACCTTTATGGAGGTCGACTGCACAGGCATTCGTTAGCCCTACGACGACCCCTTCGTCATCTCTACTTTCCTATCCAATTACAAAGTCAGACGGGTGCTTGTCGACGACGGCAACCCTTCAGACATCATCTTCCTGAACGCCTATCGCCAACTCAATGTCGGAGAGGAAAAATTGTCCCCTCTCCAAACCCCACTAGTCGGCTTCACTGGCGATCAAGTGACCTCCATAAGCTCCATCGATTTCCCATTCACCATCGAAGAATATCCACGGCAGACCACCAAGCTACTCACATTCCTCATCGTCGACTGTCCTTCTGCTCATAACATAATCCTTGAATGCACGACTCTCAAAACTTTCTAAGTTATTACCTCCATATACCATCTAGCTATGAAATTCCCGACCGACCTCAGGGTCGACACCGTGAGGGGCGAGCAGACGATGGGCAGGGAATGCTACGTCGCCTCACTAAAGGAAATCAAGATGAAGGAGACTATGATCATCGAAGGTTTTGACGTCAGAGATAAGGAAGAATTAGTCAGAGGGAAATCGTGGAAGAACTTGTCGAAGTGCCCATCGATCATACCAACTCAGCTAAAATAACCAGGATTGGTAGTCAACTATCCTCTCAGGCCAAGGCCGATCTCACAGCTCTCTTAGCCGAGCACAACAATGTCTTTGCTTGGACCCACTCAGACATGCCAGGTATTGATCTCTCTTTCATCACTCATCGCCTCAGTATTGAGCCTCATTTCCGACCTTTCCGACAAAGGCGATGTATTTTTCACTCGGAACGCAATACCCTCATTGCCTCTGATGTGGACAAACTACTGAAGGCGCAGTTCATTAAAAACGTGGACTACCCCAGGTGGTTGTCCAATGTAGTCTTGGTCCGCAAACACAATGGTAAATGACGACTCTGCGTCGATTACTCTGACCTCAATCGGGTTTGTCCCAAAGATAGCTATCCTCTCCCCTAGAAAGATCTGTTGGTCGATGCAACTGCCGGACATCAGATGCTTAGCTTCATGGATACCTTATCTGGCTACAATCAAATCCTGATGTACCCGGCCGACCAGGAACACACCACCTTTATCACGGACAGAGGAACTTATCACTATCGCCATATGCCATTCGGCTTGAAAAATGCCGGAGCAACTTACCAACGCCTGGTTAATGCTGTCTTTCAACACCAGATAGGTTGGAACATGGAAGTCTACATCGATGACATGGTAGTCAAGAGTAAGCTCTTTTCCGATCACTTGGCAGACCTGCGAGAGACTTTCGAAACCTTACATAAATATTAGATGAAACTGAATCCGGAAAAGTGCGCCTTTGACGTAGGATCTGGGAAGTTCTTGGGCTTCATGGTTAGCAAACAGGCCATTGAGGCTAACGCCGAAAAGATTAAGGCCCTGATAGAAATACGGTCTCCCAGAATGGTCAAGGAGGTTCAACG